CGAAACGGCGCGCGAGCGAGGGAAAGGCCGCGGAGGGGAGGGGAACAACCGGATCAACACACTCGTACTCCTAAGCAGACAATCCCGCAGTTCAGTTTCCCCATCCCCGCCCGGACGAGTACATACATACATACATGCATGCCATGAATAACCCGTGAYAAGACATCTAATCATCCATGGACCTTCGACATCACTCATGTGCACAACCAGCTCCCATCACTCGGGGCTTCACRACATGCATACACAAAGCAGCAATGGAGATAAAAGTGAGTCCTTCTTGTACACAAAAATTTCAATTAGCTGCCGCCCCCAGGCGCAGCCTTCAAAACTCCCCAAGACCACYGACCACCATAGCCACAAGGCCCTGCTGCAGCCGGCGTCCAATCCCCACCACTGCTCAGTCCCTCCGACTGCTTCGCCCCGAGACTATCGCGGGTCCACCCCACGTCGTCACTCCGCCCGTCCTTGGGCTCGTCGAGCCTGTTTGGTGCCGCGGACTCTCGCGCATAGCTCGCGCAGCATTGAGGCCGAGATCAAAGAGAGGGAGAGGAGAGGGTTGTGCGAATTTATAGCGCAGGGGGCGGCGGAATGTCAGTGCGAGGTGCGGGCAGCGCAGGTTGTAGATGAGCAGGACAGGAGGGGGGGTGGGGAGTTAGAGAGTTCGACCCGCGGGATGGCATGGTCCTACGTGATTGGGGTGTCCGTTCAAATGGCGCGCGGTTTCCCGGTCTCAACATTGATCCGAGCATCCCAACTACGCAGCCAATCACTTCGCGGGTTAAGGATCGAGCTGGGCGGAGGGGAAGACGAAGAGTCCGTCAGAGGGAAAATGCGCGCAGCAAGAAGGGAAGATGGCGCGAGGATGCAAAGCAAGAAACGGGGATGTGCGACGCGCGAAGAGATCAGAGCTTGGGCACGCGCGCAAAAATTCAAAAAGTCCCAACCGCACCCATTTCTTGGTTTTCATACCGCGGCCGCTATTCGCCCGCGGGAGTTATTAACCAAACAAAATGAAAAAGCCGTTTCAAAAAGAAAACAAAAGCAAAAAGAAAGAAAACCCCTTTCTATCCGCGCCCGTACTTCCGGGCTTCTGCGGGATTTTTCCCCAGGGATACGGCAAGCCGCGCGGTACGGATCAGAGCTTATCACATCTATGATACGCAGGGGGTTCCGAAAAATTAGCAGTCTCCCGACTGCTGATGTCATCATATCTTGGAT